GTATGGGAGTTTACGACGCAATAACAGGCAAATAAAAGTGGCGTAACAAGGTATTACTACGAGCCAGGCATCGTTATACGTACATGGGCAATCTGATATTGGCGAGGGGTTGTCGACTAGTCTACTCTCTTATCTCCATTAACAGCCTACCGTAGGAGAAAATCAAGAATAGAACAATATAAATAAATGGAAGAAATACTAATAAAAGAAAAGTGAAAGACACGAGAAATGAAAATATGAAACGTTACGTTTAGTTATGTACAATATGTGTTGATAATAAGTAAGTACATTTTACAAATCACTATTTTGAAAAAAGTTAAACAAAGTACACTAACAAAGTAATATGAGTTTTTTTTTTTACTTATATGCTATATTAATTAAACTTTTAGCAAATGAAGGTCTAGCAGTATTTTAAAGATTACGTTCAGTTTTTTTGTGACACAATACTATCAGTGTACTAAAATAATAAATTTTAACAACGCAGAAAAAATCCCTCCAGATATCGTTACAATTATTGTCAGCCTACAAATACTGTGATCGTGAGTAGTTCTAGAAACAATAAATTCAATAGGGATATAAATATGAACTCTCCCATATATGTCTTATAATAAGACTGAAATTGTCTCTATTCAAAGATAACCTATTAAACCATTTCATCAAATATAATGTACCGATAAACAATTAATTAAATATGATAAATGAAAATCCATCGAAACGTTACCAGGTTGTATGTATATTACGGGGAAAAGAGTTAGTATAAAAAAACAAATTGGGACGTGTTTATAACAAGGTGAAAAAATTGCGTTAAAACGACAATTTCCGACCTATGTTTACGAATAAAACGAAAATATGTATAGCCGTTTCATATGTATGCCTTTTAGCATGTATATGTCTTATGAATCACTTTATACGTTCAACATTGCCACTTAGCATAACTGTTACTCCAATGCTGCTAGTTTTACATAATTTCTTAGCTACACCGTTAATGTCAGAATAATATGTAAAATGTATTTATGGGCATATGTCTATGTCTGTATGAGGTTCTTATTAATATTAAAAGAACGTTAGAAACTCAAGTACTTTATTAAATGCATCATTATTTGAGTAATAATATTATAGCAATTGTTCATAATAATTAATATAATTTTAGCAAACTCAACAAATCAACCGCAATTCATTTTGGTTGGATGCTCTATTTGAAGTAAAATATATTTACACGCGGACATAACTTGACCACATAAAATATGATTCACTCAACTTAAGTGATTGAGTTGAAGTCCAGGTTAATTTCTTAGCACGAAATTAGGAGTATTGAGCAATTATTTTAAATATTAAATTTCGAAGAGGAGTAACTATTAAGTGAACGTACACTATGATGCCATTTGTCTCTCAGCCCGTACCTATTGGAGTGCCTCACAAGTTGGCAATATCTGTTCCATGTCTGCGGGAAGCGCAATGGCTGGCGATCGCTGAGATTGGGGTTTTGTACGTTATGTGCAACAATCAATTTCATTGATTCCCCTCTGACAATACCATCGAAATTAACGTCCATATACCTGATATTTTGTGTTGTTTATTTACAATCCTTTATTATTTTAGTTGATACCAATCACAATATTAAAGCTTGTATCTGTTAAAGCATTTTTTATTACTATGATCGTACGTGTGAGAAATATTAGTAAATCCGTTTTAGTTGGACGACAGATGTATTCGTTTGATTTGTATAGGCAATTTTTCTCTTAAATTCGGTATGTTTAAGTTCATTATTACAGTGCAAATAGTATAAGATCGATGTTTATTGTAGATGTTCATAATTGTTTAAAATGATTGAACCTGCTTTCCTTTTGATACGGTTCAACAATCCACAGACTCAATACACTCTTTGTGTTGTGGAGACATACACAAGAAAACGATCTCAAGAGTGAGATTGACACTGCAAAGCAAATAAAGAATGACCTGTATTTAATTTTAAGAACGTCGTATCTCCTTATTCGTTGGACAAATTTTGATTTATATTACTTTTTTTAGGCAAACACAATCGATAATACTTAATAGGATGCCTTTATGTTTTAAATAGTAATTTAAATAACCAGTAATCTTGTAAGAGAATCGGTAAAATATTGCATTCTACATATAAGGTTTTGTTTCAGATGCAATTCGTTGCAATATTTATGGGTAAATTTCAAATGGTGACACAGTAATTATTTAATACATTTCATTGTTTAAACGGCAATAAAAGGAAAATAAAAACAATATTATAGGGAAGATTGAATTTTTATAGCAAAGTTTACAGGAAAAACTTTAATTATATTATATATGAATAATATATTATTTAATTACATTAATAGCTAGGCCTATGGTAATTTGTCACAATACGGATGACCTGATCTAAAGGAAAAATAACATTGCAAAACTGGTACGCATATCAAAATAAACTAACCTAGGGTAACTGTTGCTCGAATTCGAGCGATTTCGAAGTATTACAGGTGTTATTTTAAAACGAACAGTCATAATTTCCGATTACTTTAAAAGAGTCGACTCAAAGATTATGGAAATACTGAAGATGTACATAACAGTTCGATATAATTATCATTTCTTTTAAATATCATTTCATTTTTCAAAACTTGATCTTGTGTTAAGTGTTTTCTACAAATTTTCCCACTCATAGCCGCATTAGGTTGTCCATAATAACGATTATACATAAAAAAAACATTATTTCTATTTCTTCTACTGGGTGGTGCTCTATGAATTTCCTATGTATCCATAGTTTGCAAATCGGCTCTCTTTCAATGATTGCTCAAGAAATGCAGCACAGTGTTAGGTCAGTTTTCTTTTTAGTAGATCAAATTGTCCAGGCTTTCTAGCTTTTTTCTATTGTAATATTTACGATTAATCAATATTTAATTAATAATATTTACGCTAAGCCAAATTCAAATAGTAAATATTTTTTATTTCAACCAAGTCAGTAAATGTTTATAGCACACGTTTCCTTAATTGCAACTAAAATACTAACAGCAATGAAATTATCCAGCCGGCCATTATGCAAACAATTATGTTCTTCATAAGGATAACATGAGATCTTTAAAAGCCACTGGGACAAAACCCGAGGGACTTTTTCAAAAAATATTTCAGTTTGCAAATCTAAACACCTAGACGAACATTTTGATATATAATATCAAATAATATTATTTGGGTTGGATCTTAAAACAAAAAAGCCTTATTGTTCACAAAGTTTCATGTAGCGTATTAATAATATATATAGATTATGTGCTCTTTTATCTACAGTTGGCAATATGCCTACTCCACAAAGGTGTCATCAATGAAAGGGTTAACCCATTCATATAATACTGCAAGGTTACTGATGATTTATATCTTGTGAAACCTAACAGTGTGATTTGGATCAACTCCAGAGTATCGGGTTTGTCGAGCCAAAACCTATAACTTAAAGGTGTCTGTCAATGACAAATCGTGTATAAAAGTATAAAATATATTTGTATGCAAGATTTCATTGAAAATAATTGTACTTATAAAAAAATCACGTTAAAATATACCAGTAACACTCTGAGCTCAAATACCTTTGTATCCTGGGCTAGACAGCTTTTCATTTTTATTTTCTCTCCCTGTACATAGTATATGGAGAAAGTATTGTTTTCTGCCATTTTGATTAGGGGTGCGATATTGACCTCTAGTTTGCGCCATTCAATTTCTCTCAATAAACCCTTTAAAATGAGGGGTCACATGATAGGTGTTTACATTTGAAAATTTGGATCTGCCCCCAAAATACCCCATTTTGGGGGCTGGGGCAAAATTGTCACTTCAATGAAAAAGTGCAATTTCTTATGTTGTAAATATGTGCCAAGTTTAGTTTTCCTACTGCAACGTGTTAAACAGTAAACGGGGGGGGGGGATTCCAGACTTTTGCTTAACCCTGTAAATAAGCTGAACATTTTCAGGAATACTGTATAACCAATTTATCGTAGATGGGCTAGGCCTCGGTTTTAATTTGGAATCCCACGTAGGACTCCAACCCACTGGTTGCAAACATTTAGTTTGCAAAACAGCTTCCTAAACGATTTTGTAGAGCTTAAAACTAATAATTTAGGACTGTAAAGCGTTGTTATAAGCTGTTATAAGTTGAGGAAAAAATTCCAATAAAAATTTTAAATTTAAAATTCATAAATAGTAACTGTTTTTTTTATTGTTTATAAACATATCTTGATCAAATTTAGGTAACCTATTTATTAATAAATGAGTTATTAAAATTGTAATTAGAAACGCTTTATTACCTTCCCTATGGCAGCAAACCTGTGTACTCGTTAAACTAATGTTATTCAATTATATAGTGAATAAATGTGAAATTTGTAAGGGAATATTTTAGTTATAACAGGTTACGTACACCTTGACGTCCACAATTCCTTAGTCGGTATCCGTTGACTATAGTTTCGACTACTGTACTACGTAGTCATTATCAAAAACGGAACGTTAAAATATTACATTCGTTGAATGTCGTCAAATCTTAAATACATCGAACACACAAACAAACATAACACGAACACGGTAGACATTTAACATAATTGACCGGCCGGCACACGTCACTGTACTTTGTATTTTAGTATTGAACTAATCAGGCATTTGGAAATTCGCTTAGTTCGTAGGTTTGAATGGTTGTTTTGGGGTCATTTTAATTAAAAGAAATTGGGTTTGATAAAACTAAGCGTTAAAATTAAACTTTGTCCCAACAAATGAATTATGGATGTGTTAATACTTTATAGACATTTCTAAAGAGCTCAAAATATCTTATTCTCCCTTTGCAAAGCATGGGTATATTAGCTAGTATATAATATAACAGATTTAAAACATCATAGATACGATGAAATTAAAATTATTATATAATGAAGATAATTACCGTCCTAAGTGCAACTGTCTGTGAGAGGAAACTGAGCGTTTGTGGTTATTATTAACCACTATCTTTCCGCTTCGCAAATGATGCAGAGGGATTTAGTAATTCTGCAGCGTTAGACTGTTAGACTCTATGCACTAGAAGAATTATTGAATTAATTCTTATTTGAAATATAGTTTTGTTAATTAACACTTTTAAGCATTATAATTTATAGCAAGGTTGAGTTTTTAATTGATTTTTTAATTTAAAATACGCCCGTGTCGTGAACAATGTTAATAAAGAGCTTGATTTGACGAAGCAATCATGTAATTGATATTTAATACGTGTGATGAGTGAACTAAGCTACACCAGTTCTTATTATATCTGCCGTCATGTAAGAATGCAATTTCAAACCAGACGTAAGTTCAAATGTTTATCGTTTTGGCTAAGCATTATTTTTTACATCACTGAAATAGTTTAAGATAATAAAAAATACGAGTTAATTTATCAAGATTGGTTTAAGAATCCAATGATTTCATTTTTATATGCAGTATGCAATAACCTGTTTGTAAGTACTTGATTTGATATTATACGAAGGAAATCGGTCATGTGAGTATTAGCTTAAACTTAAAATAATGTGAAAACTTACACTTATCAGAAATATATCATTCTTTTTAACCGACTTCCCCACTACCAACAAAAGGAGGAGGTTCTCAATTTGTTTGTGGCGATGTTTTTTTTTTTCTATGTATGTTCACCAATTTCTCTACAGGTGATTCTTTTACCGATCAGTGTGGTTCTACCACCAAAATAACCAGGAGAGTTTCTATTTGGTACCTTATATATTATATTTAAGTATAATATTTGTTTCGGTGAAAAATTCTGAAAACCTTAAATATTCAACTTTTATTTTGTTTACATTTGTGCAGATTGTTTACATTTGTGCAGAGAAGGCAATAAATAATAACATTCCTACAGCTGTTAATTGAAACCATTTAAATGAAGCTACAGACAATTCTTCATGAAACAGTTGCTTCATATTGATCAATAAACTATTTATTGCCATGGAGCCTAAATGAATTACATTGAGAAAAATGCATTTTGTTTTGGTTACTATAAAAAATGTATTTTAACGTTTGACCTGATTTGTGTATACAGTAATTCTGTTTTTAGTATTGAATATTCTGACTTACAAAAACATATGTTTCAGTGAATAGCTGTATGATATTGACAAATAAAGGTGTATTGTGAAAACCAAAGCATTCGTAAAACAGGTCTAAATATAAATCAAATGCAATTATTCCTTACACGACCTAAGAAGTGTGACAGTGCATAGTCGTCAATTGTCTTAAAAGTGTTAAATATTTTAGTTACTAAACATGCATTTGCAGATGTGGAATGTTTATTGATATTCTCTACCCAGTTACTATATCATATCAATACTATTATGCCTGCTTCGGAAAGTCCTAGAGGAAGATGATTTGCAATTTCGATTAGGCTATATCTTGATCTAACAAAACCACCTACATGGCTTGCACCACTTTTAGCTGAACCAATCTTTCATATACATATTTAATTTGCAGATGTGGAATGTTTATTAATATTCTCTACCCAGTTACTATAAAATATCAATACTATTATGCCTGCTTCGGAAAGTCATAGAGGAAGATGATTTGCAATCTCGACTAGGCTATATCTTGAGCAAACAAAACCCCCTACATGATTTACACCACTTTTAGCTGAACCAATCTTTCATATAATATTTTCCAAAGATACTATACGTGTTAACAACCAATTTTCCACTTTTGTGAGATTTTTTAGTGCTGGTAGCTGAGGAATAACTTTCATATTGTTCCAAAAGGCTTGAGACGTTACTGTATTTCTTTTTATAATGTAGAAGTACACCGATTGCAGGAAACGATGATGTCTGACATTTCAATGTATCTAGACAAGACAATTAGTTTTTCATTAGGCCTAATGTAATGAACAACTCTTTCTTTCTTAAGGAATATCTAAAAATGTTTATTTTCATACCCATTGATTATGTAACCTGAACAGGTGACTCAAGCAGTTTTAAAATAATGATTGTTCTGTGGAACTTTTGATCGTTTCAATCAGTTTTGCTTATCAAAAAACCTCAAGTAATTAATACAAAAAAAATTATACCGTCACTAAAAATCATGAAATAATCTATTTTTGTAAAAAAATACAACCGACTTCAAACGCTCTAAAAAGAATGAAATAATTTCAATAAAGTAAACTTTTGTATTAGGCAAGCTCACGTATTTTAAGTCGGCGCGGCTCAAACTGCAAATATGATTGAAATTAAATATTGTGTGTGTATTTTGAAAATCAATAAATTGTAGCTGGATAACATAAATATATAAAAACATACTGAACTGTTTTGTTTATATATTAAAGAAAATATTTTTGTGTATTTTATGTTTACTTCAGAATAAATGCATTATGAAAATAACACACACAAATGTTCTATATGAATAGGAAAATAATTTAAATTGTTATTATGATAGGGAAAAGAAGCTAGTTTAGTATTAAAATGTTACTTTTAAAAGTTAGAAACATTTAAATGCGTTATAATCTTTTTAAAGATACTCGTTAATACCACTATAATGCCGATATCTGATTACGGTAATAAAATAACACTTAACGCATAACTATGAAAAAGACATGCAGATTAACACTTTTAGTTATAGATAGTCACCTGCAATATGGACACCCTCTTTATTTTGTATCAAAAATCATCATAGAGCCGCGCCGACTTTAAATACGTGAGCTTGCCTAATACAAAAGTTTACTTTATTGAAATTATTTCATTCTTTTTAGAGCGTTTGAAGTCGGTTGTATTTTTTTACAAAAATAGATTATTATAATATTTTGATAATTACATGTCTTTATGAGTTTGGTGTATTTATAAAAGTTCCTTTGTATTGTTTAGGATGTGAAGAAAGGAAGGGCCTTCGCCAATCTCACTGTGCAGTTGAGACTGTGTCAGCCGGTTTGTCAAAGTAAAGGTTAAGCGACTTTATTTGACAGTTGATAGATTGTAAGCTTGGAGATAGGATTTATCGAAGCAATACTAGAGTAATAAGACTTTTTAGAATTGAAGCGGGTAATTAGTGTGAAGGATTACTTGAATAACGCTTTGTTAACAGTCACAGGATATACGAGCTTAAATTCTAGTTTCATTAAATTTTTTAAGTCTTGCATAAGGATAGGAACAATCAACATTTACCTTTTTAACAAGCTTACATTTTCCAATTTAGTACTTATAAAGATCAGTGCCTCGAATACTTATTTAAACACTTTCAAATAAATTTCTTGCACATAGAATTTAGTTATCCTAAACTGTAAATAAAATTGCTTTGGTTATAAATTGTAGTTGATACTTTATTTTTTATAATCAGCTCTATTAAATGAAAAGTCTGGATAAACTTTCAAGGGATGAAGACAATCAGAGTAATGGAACTGTAATCTGAAATAAACTCTAACAATACAAACAAATACAAGGATCGTTTCCTGTTATTGTCTAATTGTAAAGTTACTAAAGCGTGAAGTTGTAGTTTTGTAGTTACTATGCCAATTTTTTTTATCCTATGATCATGTTCGTCTTATACGACGTAGATTTTATGATCTGCAATTAATCAGTTTATGTACGTCATCGACTCATCATTACATAATTGTAGTGAAATATTGAAAACCTAAATGGTTGTGGAGTTTATAATACTAATCTTTGACTTACTGAATGGATTTATAAAAACAATTAATGAATTTTTTTGATATGCTGACAATCAACTATTAGCAAGTATTGCAAATAAATATTAGCTTTTGATGCAGAGGCCTATTATCTGTATACAAATAGTCAATATTTGTATAAATTAGTGGGGATAATGTTGTTTTGTCCTACTTGTTGTTATATGAGTACTATTATAACATGCTTTGCCATACAAAAGTGTTTTCTTGTAATCTAGGGACAAAATAGCAATAGTTTATGGCAACAATCATTAAATTATTGTATTTGATTTTAAGCAGGATTATAGAATAGTTTACCCTTATTTTCAGCATTATTTATTTATTTTTTATCAGCTCTACAGACAGCACCAACTCGCACAATTTTTGGCCTGACATCACAACAGGGAAAAATCATAGTCAATTCCAAAGATAATCGAATTAAGCTTGGACCAAAGTGTTGAGAACTAAACAAGCAACAAAATAAAGCGTGTTGCGGAAAACGACCTTAGTGCACTGGGGCCGTTTTTCCACCCTACTCCTCAATTGTAGGAGTTCATTGCTGCTTGTCGTTTAGTTTACAATAAAAAAAAATGCCATTATGTATGGACACCATAATAAGTGGCACGGTAATTTAAGGTAACTCATTTCAAATGTCTTCACTCACACAACTTTCCAAGGTCAAAGTTGACAAATGTTTATCAATAAATTACAATTCTCTATAGCTATGGTCTGACAGAAACAATAAAAAATATATTAAATAACAGCTGATTCCCTTCGTAACGGCAATTTCTGTAAAGTATCGAGAAAAAGATGAAACATATTTTGGAGCCAACCTTTCAGAAAACTAAATACTCGTAGCTTATAAAAGGTTTGTCCCGTTAAGCTTTCAGCTTTGTATTTTAGCACCAAGATTCATCATTTACCATTTACAACAAGTCCTGTGTCACCTTAAGCGTCAAAAATACACTTGTAACAAAATTGTACATTTAAAAAGACAGGTTAGTTGTTATTTTTTGTTTAATTTTGTGTATATATTACACAATATATACACAATGCCTACACTATGGCATTGTAACGGTCTGAACCCTGGTTAGCTAACGTCGACCACTTGTTAGATAGTGTAGCCCAATGACAAATTGTAATGGCAACTTGGTTTTGCAAACGATCTCGCTTGGAATCGAATTATTGAAAAATGAATACAAATCACATAAACCTACTGAGACACATTTAATTATGTTCAGGTGTTAAAATTTTAACTACTGATTTACACTAGGCCATTTACTTACAAAGAAAATAGGTAACATCAAGAATTGAAGAAACGAGGGTTTGGTCTATCATATCTATGTAGCAATTAGAACCCTCTTTTTTCTCAAAGCATGATAAAAATTGTCTAGTGTTACTATGTAAGTATTTTTTATTCATCACCACTAAAACGAATAAAAAATCTCAAATAAATTTAATATAACGTATAAACGGAAAATAATATTTAAGATCAAAAATATAAATATAAAGAAGAAGTTGTATAGTTAGACAAATTATAAGAGGTTTCAAAACATCAAGATCAGTGCGGATGTAGTCCAAATAAGAAACAAATGATGATTGAGCTTGTACAATACTGTGTAGTAACTTTTATCCAGCTCGACTGCCTTCGTGAAACTTTAGAAAGAATTCGGGTTGGAAACATATCATACTTTTAAAGTAGGGCAAATATGATGGAAACATGATAAACATTTTGAGATAACGAAAGTTTCTTGAATGAATTTGTTATTTATAGGATTTTCATGGTTCTGTTTTATTGCTAATGTTTTATTTGTTATCACTGTTTTCCTCGAAATTTTCCTTTATAAATTCCAACCATACCAATAAACCAGAACAGAACTCAAACACAACTATAAAATGTATATGAACAGCATATGAACAAACCGCTTTGTATGGATGTTGAAATACCCCAAAACAGCGAATCAGTATACTGTATTACTAAAATATATTATTGTTTGTATATTACTAAGGAATTTTTGTTCCCTTTGAATAGTAGAGGGCTATTTAATAAGATAAAATAAAATCCCAGTCAATAGTCACCAGCAGTCATTGTTTCATGTTAAAACACTAAAACAATGCTTACAACGACATAGCTATTAAAATTTGCTATGGTTTGACATCTTCTCAAAAGATAAAGGTTGTAAAATGACTGTTGTTAGTTTGTGTTATAAAGGTCCATTGAATACTTCGTTGTTTGAAGTTCATTGTTGGTGATGGTGAGTTAATGTTGTTCAAAGGTTTGTTGCGGACATTTTCCATCACGAAAGTAAAAAACAATACACAACGTTTCGGGATCTGGAATCTGATCCCGTCTTCAGGTGAAAAAACTTAACTAACACATTACAACTAACAATACACAAACGCCCAACCTAAGTTGGAATACACTACCGAGGGTAGTAGTCAAAAAATATGCACTGTATAGCAGTCAAGTCATGATACAACATGCAATTAATAACAAATCACAAAACACTATAATCTATAAAAGGTTTACGTACAAAAAACTCACACAATGGAACACTAACAACACCGTACGCTATGACGGTACTACTAACTGAACCGGTTCAGTTTCATTGGTGGAGTCATAGCGTACGGTGTTGTTAGTGTTCCATTGTGTGAGTTTTTTGTACGTAAACCTTTTATAGATTATAGTGTTTTGTGATTTGTTATTAATTGCATGTTGTATCATGACTTGACTGCTATACAGTGCATATTTTTTGACTACTACCCTCGGTAGTGTATTCCAACTTAGGTTGGGCGTTTGTGTATTGTTAGTTGTAATGTGTTAGTTAAGTTTTTTCACCTGAAGACGGGATCAGATTCCAGATCCCGAAACGTTGTGTATTGTTTTTTACTTTCGTGATGGAAAATGTCCGCAATAAACCTTTGAACAACGAATACTTCGTATTATATACAAATACTTAGCAGGTTGAGTAAAAAATGTTGTCTTTCAATTTCAGGACATACAAAAACCAAAACATATTTTTAAAAACTTCCAAACTTGAAGGAGTGATGGTTATTAAATAATTAATTATAAGTTCACTTCATAAACTATGTTGTAAGAAATTAAATACTTCGCGCATTTATTATTATTGCCTCCTGCACTGTTATTATATTCACTACAGAATTATATGTTATGCGTTGTGACTACAAAAGTATTATGTTCAACCTTTTGTGTATATTTTTTAATGTGTCAATCCGGTGAATAATACATTTAAGTAATTTATGCGTTGAAATATACTTTGTTTACAACGACTAACATTGGAACTGGAAAAAAGGAAAAAGTTTGTACCCCGGATCATATTTTAATACTTTACTATAAAATGGCAACCATACGAAAGTAGGTATTTTAAGCCAAGTATGAATGGAGATTTTACAATGTAGAAGGTGGAAATAATTGAAATTAGTATCCTAAAAAGTTAATTATCTATTTATTTTGTATACGATGCAGATACAGCCAACACAGGCAGGTAAGAATATTAGACTAAAATGTGTAGTAATTAATTAAAACACCTGATGGAGTAGAAACCATCAGATGGTGGTCATGACGACCAGCTGAGGCTGGGTTGGTAACCATGGCAACACAACAATGGTGTCAACAACAGCTGGCAGCGAGTAGCAAGTAGCAAGTCAGTGTGGGCCGTGGTGTTGTCGCGGACAGTTGTCCTCGAGCCCTCAGTTGTGGTGATGTTTCTGCCCACATACAACACTGACAGTAACCTACATACTTACGTGCGAGTTTCATGTGTCTGTCCTTCATAATATATTGGTAAGATGGTCTACTAATGTTATTTGTTCATGTCAAAATAATTTGTTTCATTGAAATGTTTACAGTTTCTAAATGAAAATAACTCAAGTAAAGACACATATCAAATTTTTCTTAAACCAAGTTTCATACCTTTAAAAAACATCTGCTATTAAGTTAAACAGTATCTTTGACGTTTAGTGTAAGCTTATACTAATATATTCAACTTAACAATGAGCGTGAACTTATCGAAGTACAATTTTCACTGAAAAGGTAAGGAATTCATTTATAAAGGTTAAATCAATGTTTCAAAGTGTATTATTTGTTTTAAAGTAATTTAGCAAAAAGAAATCGACTCAAATCATTAGGTATGACCACCAGTATTAAATCTTTAATAAGCGGTATCAGCAATCTGACACATACTTTCCCCATTAGCTTGTAAACAACCTTTATCATGGGTAACTGAATGGAGTAAATATGATATTTTAAAGGGAAAATGTCAAAAGTGGCAAGCATGTTTGAACCGTAAATGTTTCAGCAATGAGGGTTACACTTTTCTTTAGAATCATATGGACCATAACACAATAATTTAATCAAAACCGGGGTTTTCTAATGATAAGATTTTTTTGTTTTTATGGGGCTTTTATGGGAAAATAACATAAGTTACAATAACATTTGAACCGTAATTGTTACGGAAATGGTATTTGTACCATTTTTTTGAGAATTCAAAGGACCATAACATACTAATTTTAATAAAAACCGGTTTTTTTCTAAAATCCGATTTTATTTGTTATTTTATAGTTTTTAATCGGAAAAATAGCATAAGTTACAATAACTTTTAAAAAGTAGGTAATTTTTACTGAAATGATATTTGTACCATTTTATTCAGAATTAAAGGGACTATAACATACTACATGTTTGTCAAAATCATTTAGGTATTTTCGTCGGTTTTATGGGAAAATCACTGTTAAAAATCAAAATTTCTAAAAAATGGAAAGGAACTTCATGAAATACCATGGAGTAGTGCCTACATACCAAATTTCATCAACATCGGACGTCGGGTAAGGTATGTACTATGTAGCCCTGTACACATCCACACATAGTAGACATCACTTCAAAAACCAATTTTCTAGGTTTAGGGGGACCCAAAACGCATATATCCTCAAAAGCTCGAACTCGAAAATTTTGAAGAAAACAATTCTTTCTATGTATAAGGGAGAGAAAGAAAAAAAATGAATGTGACAAATAAACGCCCTGCAGTTTAGAGGAAATGATACATCGAATAGAGCGCGTCTCTGTCTCAGCTTTATCTAAGAAACAATCCTTCTGGCGTTCGGTTCGCATAAAGAAACAATATCCGAACTTTCAGGACGGATGGTCAGGCGAGGCAATCTTTGTGTCATATTTGATTTTCCTCATGTAACAAGAAAATCATTCAGGATTTGTTTAGGGCTAAAAAGTGCTTGTCATAAATTAAAAAAATACAAATATCATGAATTGTGTTTGTTTTACTTACTCTATACATTGTATATATTATTTCGTCAAAACATTTAACTTAGATTTTTGGGTTGAAATATCCGTTAAGAGACCCCTAATCCCAAAAAATGGTTTTATATGTGAAGGTATCTCAAAGTCATTAACATTTTTTGGAAATCATGAGTTTTAATGGTAATTTTACATAAAAACACTGCCCGAACGGTTTTGATTCTAATTTAGTATTTT